GCTAAACCCCAGCTGCCTTAAGTTGTATAAGTGCAGCCCCGTTAAGCAAAAATACCTAGTATTAAGTAATATGCCTACAATATTAAGTAATGAAGGAAAACATAATTTTTATTACTTAACATGTAAATAAGCCATTCTTGCTTAACTGGTCAGTTTTTTTATTGTATTTTTTTATTCTTTTATACTACTTCCTTAATCTCGTGTGCCCTTCTCAGGACACCCTGTATACCCTGTAACTTGGTATTAGGGGGTTCATGTTAAAAAATATTAAAATGTTAAAATTGTTTAGAAAGACTTAAACTTAAAACTAATAAGTAAATGCTTTTCTTAAACTTGTGTGGTGAAATTTTTTTAATTTTTTTCAGACAACAAAGTAGTTATCAAATTTATAAATATTTATTTGAATTTCCTAAGCCATTTTTTCTTTTTAGATTTAATTAGTATTAGTGATTACCAGAAAAAAAGTCGCGATTAAATAAGCTAAAAAATTATTTTAAGCTTAAATTACAAAAATCACTTTACTTCACGTCAGCCATTTTTTTAACCATAATAACCCCCTTATACTACGAGCCCTAACCACATAATGTTCGGACACTTCATAATTTATACAGAAATTTTTTTCGTGAATACTATCTCAAAATTATTAGAAGTTATGAAAAATTCAGCTTATTTTGGCATATACCCCTCGAAGCGATTTTTATTTTTAAAAAGTTTACCTTTTATTTTTAGCTTTTAAAAAAAGGCTAACTTTTTAACTTTTTTTTGTATGAGTAAAAAAAGTTATAAATGGACCCATTAAAAAGAGCATAAAATATTATACAAACCTTGAAAATTTGGTAAAAAATAAATAAGTTATAAAAAAGTATAAGTAATTTAAAAATGCTATTTTTAAAGAGTTTTTGCAATTTTCTTAGGAAACGGGAGATTTTGCAGATATATATATCGCTATAACTTTCTTATTATTTATACAATTTTTACCAAATTTTCAGGGTTTGTATAATATTTTATGTTCTTTTTAATGGGCCCATTTATAACTTTTTTTACTCATGCAAAAAAAAGTTAAAAAGTTAGCCTTTTTTTAAAAGCTAAAAATAAAAGGTAAACTTTTTAAAAATAAAAATCGCTTCGAGGGGTATATGCCAAAATAAGCTGAATTTTTCATAACTTCTAATAATTTTGAGATAGTATTCACGAAAAAAATTTCTGTATAAATTATGAAGTGTCCGAACATTATGTGGTTAGGGCTCGTATAAGAACACCTACAGGGTGTTTCACATTTGTGGTCCATTAGAAGTTTCTAGGGAACAGAAAAGAGTACCTACTAACGCATATCAGGTCAACAAAATATTTTAAACGAAATATACAGGGTGATCCGAAATTAGTGCACCATACTTTAACAGCAGATTCTACGTGCAAAAATAAGAAAAAAAGTAAAAATAGGTCGATAAATGCCTTCTAAGGGAGCTACAGCCCCCCTAAATATTGGTTTTATCTAATATTTATAAAAAAGTAGAAACACCCTGTCACTTACTACATGAAACTGTCACCTGTCTTGAATTATTCTATTTTTTCCTAAACATGGCACCCGTATTCCAAGGACCACGCGAGTCCATTTCTATGGTTGTAATTTAATTGTGAATTTTTATGCCATGTAAAATAATTTTCAAATCGATTTTAAGCAAACACGGTGTATGTTATCAAAGTTCAACAAGATGACCTTTTGTATGTGCAAAAAAATTTCATAATCTGACATCAAATTCTGGTACAAGATACGTACAAAAAAAAAAAGTATCTATCTGACCCAAACCTCATGAAATTTTTGAAATTGTTATTGTTGTGTTTTATTGGTCATAAAAATTTTAATTAATTCCACAAATTTCAGTTTTCTATCATTAACGGTTTTCGAGATATTAAATAAAAACCATCTTCAGGGGGCTTTCATTTTGGGGGCTGTAGCTCCCTTAAGAGGCATTTCTTGACCTATGTTTATAAGGACTTTTTTTCTTATTTTTGCACGTACAATCTGCTGTTAAAGTATGATGCACTAATTTCAGGACACCCTGTATAGGCATAAGTAAAACATTTATATACCTTGATTAAATTTAAAATAATTTAAAATTACATACGTATAAGCCGAGTTCTGCATGATATAACCAATAGCAGGCAAGTTTTGGAACGACAGTCAATTTGTAAATTAATTTTAAATGGAATAAGGTAAGTTTTAGAATATTATGAACTTTTCAGGGTATAGGGGGATACATGTTAAATGTACAGACACCACTAAATCATTTTTATTAAAAAGTGGATAAGCCGAGTTTTGGAATGGACCTTCTCATATATTATATTAGGGTAATATTTAAGCGTGTAATTGTTTAAATACTTTGAGAATTGGATTAATTATTATGCGACTTAAAATAATTCATAATGGGTTATAATAATAAGATTAACCAGTCTCTTTAGCTAATGTCAAAGGGCTATTTGAAGCACGCAAACGGGGCAAATCATAAAACTGTTTTTATAAAAAAATATTATATAGTATTTTGGCATCAATATTGTTAAATATATTCTTCTTTTATTAGGCTATACATTAGGGTGCTTCAAAAAATAAAATTTAAGTTTTTTTTCGCTCTTACCCTCAAATGTTTCTATTTAATATAAAAAAATCCTCACCAAATATGGGCGTTCCAGCTCAACTCTAAGAGGTCGCTGTTAGTTTCCCATTTAATTAACATGGGAAAAAATAATTTTGTTTGGAATTTTATACCTCTGTATCAAAGTAACTTATGGCAATGATCTTTGTTTCTTATATAAAATGTAACGCTCTACAAAAAAGGTCTCTTATTATTTTTCGATAAATTGATTTCTTCAAATTTTATGTTTTTTTTTTTAATTTTATGGTACAATTAGCAGACGGGAGGTGAAAGGGGGCAAAATGGGTTACCCAAAAAACTTTTTTTTAGAATGTTTTTTTCGGTTTCTAAATTATTTGAAAATATATTCACTCACAAGTTCACGCTTTTAATCGAAAATAATTATTCTGAGCCTGTAGAGCGAGAAAAAGGATGGTACAATTTTGGACAACATAAGCTCATTTTTTGGGTAACCAATTTCCCCCCCCCCCCGCTGCCTTGTTTTGCCCCCTTTCACCTCCCATCTGCTAATTGTACCATAAAATTAAAAAAACCAGAAAATTTGATGTTAATCAAACTTTGACCTCGAATAACTGGAAGAAATCAATTTATCGAAAAATAATAAGAGAGCTTTTTTGTAGAGCGTTACATTATAAAACTCCAAACATAAAATTATTTTTTCCCATGTTAATTAAATGGGAAACTAAAATAAAAACAGCGACCTCTTAGAGTTGAGCTGGAACGCTCATATTTGGTAAGGATTTTTCTTATATTAAATAGAAACATTTGAGAGGGTAAGAGCGAAAAAAAAAATTAAATTTTATTTTTTGAAGCACCTTACTATACATAAAATAAAAGAAACATAAGCAATATTTCTATAAAAGTAGAGATAACTTTAATAATTGACAGTTGAGGACGGGACAAGATAATTTTTTTTCTGCTGAATAAAAAAGGGGGCGGCAAGTGTTCTTGCCGAAAGAGGCAAAAAAACCTCGGGCCGGCTCTGACAATCAATAATTCATATGAAACTGTCATTACCGCGATAATACATTAATTTTCTATTTATTTATAATGTTACAAAAGCAGAAAACTAATGCAATATTTAAATCAACGTTAAATCAAGCGATATCAATAGAAAAGCAATAGATAATTTATATGAAACTGTCGCGATTATAAATTAATTTGCTATTGCAGTCGGCCCCTTGACGTCACGCCTCCCACTACCATACTCCCGCCTGGGATAGAGTACGCCGAGGAAAAACATTTAGTAATACAATTTTTAATTAAAATATTGTTGGTTTATTAAATTGTTACAGTTACGCATTCTTTTTGTTATTAAAATATATCATAAAATAAATGTTATATTTCTTTGTCTCCAATGATCTAGTGCTTTATCTAGTTGACATCCTACAGCTTTGTTGAGTTTTTTTCAAAATTAGCAAATGTTGTTTGTATAACTTAAATTTTTAAAATGTTTGGCTTATCACTGACTGCTATTTTTTTTCAGTAATATTGTTTACAAAACACTTAATTAGTCAACAAATTGCTTATAACGACCTGAAAAATGACGTGATAACCCTAGATACCGACAACTTACCCGTCACAGGTTTCTTGATACAAAATAATATTTAAAATTTTAGAAATTGTTAAATATCTCTGAAATTATTAACTTTAGGTATAGCGAATAGTAACATCAATCGAAAGGTTTTTTAATTTGCTATTTGATTATGTAAAAACATACCAAAACATTGCATAGAAACATATTATTTAAGTTGTAAACGGGCAGAAGAACCTAGTTCGATAGCCCTTTGGTTAAACCAATAAAGACTTTTTTTATTAACTTTAGGTATAGGGAATAGTAACATCGAAAGGTTTTTTAATTTACTTTTTAATTATATAAAAACATACCTGGTATTACATTTAAAATAAAAAAGTTATTAACCTTTCAGGTTAGCCTAATTCCCAAAATTTCGACGACATAGGTAATATTATCCGCAAATCTAATAACAAAAAAGTTATAGGCTATTTATGATTAACGCGCATTTGTCAAATTTTTAAGAAAAAAAATTAATAACTCGAAATCCATTCACTTTAGGTATATGACATGGTATAGTAATTTTACTCTGAATTTTATATAAAATTTAAAAATATATGGGGAGTTCTATGTGAAATAATAAAGTTGGTGGCATTTTGTTTAAAATATTTTATAAAAATAGATTTAAATATATATATATAAACGCTTTTCAAATTTCAAGTCGATATCTTTTCCCTTCGCCAGGAACTTCTAATGAACCAAGAATGTGAAACACCAAAGAGGAACAATTCGAGTAAACATAGTATTAATGAACTTAAATTTAAAACTCTACTTACATTTGTCCTTGATTGGAGACGAGTCGCTTCTCCTCTTCGCCCCCACACTGAGCCCCTCCACGATGATGGAAACATTTCCCTCCATCGATTGATCCAAAGTATTGAAAACCGGCGTGCTGCACACTTTGGCCCTCATCCCGGCCACCTGATTGGTCAACGATTCGATCTCCGAAACCATCTCGTCGTTTTTGTCCTTTAAACGTGCGTTTTCCATCTGCAAATTCGACAGTTTCGACAAAAGAAGTTCCTGCTCTTCGTATTCTCTGGCTCCGTATTTGATATTTTCTGTTTCCAAAGTGGCTATTTGTACTGAAAGCATTTCTCTGTCTTTCTTCAGGTCCCGTATTTGGTTTGTCAAAGTTTGGTTTTCCTTCTCCACGTTGATCGAGTATTTTTGCGCCACGGTCAAGTCGTTCTTCAACTTTGAAACCTCCTGCTCCAAATTGACAATTCTCTCCTCCAACGACAGGTTAATGTTCGAGAGCTGGTCTTTGTCTTTGCCGTATTGACTCGTCACCTCTTTCAGTATGTCGGCATGCCTCTGCTCAATCAGTTTCACTTGGTTGAGGGTGTTTTGCTCCATTCGAATGTGGTTGTCGTCGACTTCTTGCGCCAGCAGCGTCGAACGATTGTTGGCCTCTTGCACGTCGCACTTGAGTTTTTCACGTTCGGCCTGCATCTGGCCCAGCACGTGTTTCAGGCATCTTATCTCAGATTGGTACAGGGTGAGGTTGGCTTGGAGCAACACGATGTGAGGGGATTGGTATTCGGATCTTGTTGATTCAGTAACGCCTGCAAAAAAAGTTAAAAACATACAGTTGACAAATTTCATCGTATCGCAAAATTATTGATAAACTAGTTTAAAAAATATATTAAATAAAAAAGTGAAGGTAACAAAGTATTATAATCTTAAAAGGTACCTTAGAATTATATAAATACGTACAATATAATTTACCTGAATAAAATAATATTTTTAAGTAAAGTATAATTTTATAAGGTATATATAAATACATACCTAAATATGTATATAACCAAAATGAAACATTAGCAAAAATAATCTAAGAAGCAATATTGTCAAGTGAAGAAGTAGTGTCGAAAACGAAAAATACAGATAATAAAGTTCGTGAAGCTCGAGAAATTATTCCTAATGTTTTTAATTATTTTAAAAATAATAAAACTGAAGAAGAGAATCTGAGATCTGTGAAATCAAAAGTTAGTTGTGCTACTGGAAATCGTTTAATTATAATTCACGCCGGCGGAAAAATGGGTTTTATACCTAACTAATTTAAATCAGGCGACTATTATCATGAGATGAACTCAGAAGACTACGGGAAGTGGTTGCAGGAAAAACTTTTACAGAAACTCAAGGAAAGCAGAAAGATTGGTTAAATGCAAAAATGATAGAATTTCATCCTGGTATGCTAAAACCTCAATTATAAGAAATTATAAAAAACCATAAATTTAAACAATATAATACAAGTTTATTTATCTATATTAGATCGCGGCTAACAAAAATTAATAATTTTTTCGGAATTTTAAATTTTAATCATTTTGATTTTTTCACTAATAGTTAAAAGGGCTACATAAAAAAATAATAAATACAAAAAATCATTTTTGATATTACAAAATGTCCAAAGGTGGAAAAAATCGAAATTATTAAAATTCCGAAAAAATTATTAATTTTTCGATAGCCACGATCTAATATAGATAAAAAAACTTGTATTCACTTAAAGATTAAAACACAGAACACCAAAACAAATGGATGGATTTGTTTACGATTAAAAAGTGAGTAAAGCATAGTTTCACATTCTAAACGGTATCCTGAAAATTTATCGCCAGCAAATAACCGTTAGCAATTTACCGCCAGGTATTTACCGCCAACAGTTTACCGCCTCAACTGTTTATCGCCGCAACAATTTACCGTAAACTGTTGCGGCGATAAATTGGTGCGGCTATAAGTTGCTGGCGGTAAATTGCTGTCGGTAAATTGTTGACGATAAATTTTCCTAGACCCATTCTAAACACCGTCGAAAGAAACACGGCTTCCAACGTTGTCAGAAGTATAGATTAAAAATTACCAGTAATTCGTTTGAATAATAAAAAAATTGTAAAAAGGATTTGTTCATCATTTTCTTTAGATATTTTTCTCTATTTAAAGAAAGTAAATCATTTAACTATTAAAATTAAATATTAACAACGTTGGTAAATTCGTCATTAGTGGTTGACAGCATAGAAAAAGGTTGACAGCTTGTTGTTTTGTGTTTTCGTTTGTGTATTTCTATCGTGTTTAAGTTAATTATTGAGTTTAAATACATTATTTTTTTACTAAAAATGTGCGACAGTGTACTGTTTGTAAAAAAACAAACCAAAGAAATTCAATTCTATCCTTTCATGGGTAAGTAATCACAATTAAATTAAACTATTTTTAAATTATCCCTATTTAACACCACGGCACTGGTTGCAGTCAGCTGTCATATTTGTTATATGTCAGCTGTTTTGGAGTACGCAATACGTCACTGGAAGAAAACATAAAATTCTATAGCCAATTTAACGCATATACTGTGACCGTTCGTTGACCGCAAACAAAGCATTGTTATTGAATGGCAATGCGCCGTCCATTTGTTTTGGTGGTCTGTGGATTAAAACCTCAAATTTGACTTTTATCAAAAGTCGCAAATACACTTTATTATGGTTTCCATGGTAACTAAGCGAGCGTTTAGGTAACTTTGTCGCTCGGCGAGCGACAAAGTAAAAAACGCTAGCTCCTTGGAAAAGTGCAACTTTGCGCTTTCTTTTGGAAGCGCAAATTTGTACTTTTCGCTTGATTGTAGAAAAATATCATAGTGAACCAATATGCCACAGCATCAAAAATATTTATTTCAAATAGCTTGTTTCAAGACAAGAAAAATGATTGGTCGTTCGTAGGAATCGCTCAATTGGAACCAAAGTTATGATCGATGATATATTGACAAAATGAAAATTTTAAAAATCATATGTCCAAAAACAATTAATAAACCGTGCTAAAATTAAAAATTTTGAAATGGCAAGGGTTTTCTTCGTGTCGAATATACGTGGAATTCCCCATATATTTAATAATTACAAATTATTTTGTATATTTCACTCTTAAAAATGTAATATTAATCTTTGACCCCGCTGGTAGGCAGTAAACAAACATTTGCGTCGAGCTTCGCCAAGTTATAAAGCTATAATTAAATAATTAAATTCTCAAAAACGATCTTACCTTTAACTTGTTTCTCCAAAACCTGAGCGAGCTCCCCAATATTGATATTTCTGGCATTGAAACCCAGCTCGTGGATCAGCTCCTTGGGCGAGTGTATGCCGACGCTCTCCCACATCTCGATCAAGGAATCGGCCGTGATGGTGCCGTTCCCGTCCGGACCCAACGTGACGTACTGAAAGGTCCGCGAATCGGGAAACATCGACTCCGCCACCTTGACCGACTCGTCGAACAACGCCTTGACGCGGTCGTCGTTGTTGTTCGTCGGCGTCGCCGCCTCGATCGACGTCGAGTTGAAGACGTCGATCCACGTGTCGTCCTGGCGCAGGGCCTCCATCACCTCCTGGAAGCTGATCTTGTCCTCGTAGTTGAGGGGGAGCTTGTCGCTGAGTTGACGCAGCACGCCGTCGGCCAGTTTGTGCAGCCCGATAGCATCGCAAACCTGAAATAAACAATTAATTTATTATTAATTACAGTTTAGGATAAGTAAGGAATTGTTAGAAGAAAAAGGTACTATTCTTCACACCCAAACGACTCATTTTGACATTTGAATGCAAATAATTAAGGTTATCAAACTATCAGTTGAACGCTAAGTTCATCCTATTTTCTGAAAAGCGGCAAACCGTATTAAGTCCACTTTTTTAAAATCGCGTAAATGTTTTTTGCCTGCTTTTTTTACTCTTTTCAATGGTAAACAGGCTTACTTAGTTTTTTGATAGGTCAAAAACTAAGTAACCCAGGACCTAATCATGTTTATGATTGAAAAGAGCGAAAAAACGTAGGCAAAAAAATTAAGAGCTTTATAAAAAAATACATATATTTTATTATTTTTAAAAATTAGACCAAATAAGCATTAAACTGACAGATTGATAACTTCAATTAATTGTTTTTAAAATGTTAAATATCAATAGCATACATTTGTTAGTAAATATTTTGTAATAAAAACTTCTTAAATTTTAAATTTTATTAAATTTTAAAACAGTTCTTTTAAGAAAATAAAAACAAAAAATTAAACAAATTACCACCTGGTTACCGTAAGAGGGAGGAGGGACTAATCGCAGCGTTGCCACATTCTCAATTATATTCGTATAATCGTAAAAATTTAGTAGTCAATAGAACTCGCAAAAATAATAATAATAAATACTTTATTGATCCCAAGAAACATAGATTGTTTTTCTTCAGAAGTCACTGTGTGACGAAATTATCAAAAATAAATAAAACACGTGAAACTTAAAAAAACATACTAGTTTTTATATCTACACAATAATAATAATATGGAGTTTCATCAAGTAAAGGTATTATAATACCTATGGGTCCAGCAATTTTGTTTCTTATTTTATTAATATGGTCTCGCAATGACATTAATTCAGTAATTCATCAATTATTAGCCCAAGGAATTTAATATTTCTAAAATATTTTAGACTCTCACCTGCAACATCCAATGGTTGCCTATCAAATAAGTTACGCTTATAGATGTACATGTACGAGGACTTGTTAATTATTCAAAGTTAGCTTATGAGATTTAAGCCAATCATCTTTCAGTCACAAACAATATTTCTCCTAATTGAGTCATAACTGAGAAGTATACTAAGGTTGTGTCGTTGGCATATAATCTAATGTTTCCCTTAAGCTTTAAATTTTTTATTGAATTTATAAATACTATAAAAAGTGTGGGTCCTAATATAGACCCTTGCAATATATAGTTAAACATTTAACAAAAAAATCCATTTTGTGAGAGAAAAAATAAAAAACAGTTTGACAATATAACGATTTTTTTTCTAAAAAGAAGTATCTTTGGTGAAGAAAAAAATTTAATTCGGTACCGGGAATCGGACCTGAGTTTTTGCAAAAATCTAAGATTGTCTTGCCAAAACCATAAAGAAAATACAGTACAAATTCGCATAAACTAAGAAGAATTAAAATGTAAGAATTTGGCAAACATTCAAGATCAAATAAATATCAGGGGCGGCTCGTCAGGGTAGGCCTTTGAGGCCGCGCCTCCCCTTCAGAATGAAGGAAGGAACGACCTTTTGTATTAAGCTTTTTACCTATTACAAGGTGTACTTTTACTATAGTTTTTCACACTAAAAAGTAAAAAATCAATCAATCATAGTAAGCATAAATGGTAAATTTAAATCCACGCTCAAACCGTGTAACCCACTACACCGTTGAGAGTCGACCAATCAGAGGCGAAATATGTATAGCCTGGGAAGCTCCTACTTACCAGCAAAGAGCGTAAACCATTTACCTACTAATATATCAGGCTTTTTTTCGCTGCTTGAGGCGAGAGAATTAGAGCTTGGACTTGCTCTAATTGATGGTTTTATATCACATGACTAAAGATGTGGTGGATGGAAGTGTGTGTAGAGCGGGTGTTTTTGTTTTGAATCAGATGAAACTATTGAAAACTATTCGGAAGTTACCCCCCGCCCCTTAAAATAGGGAAAGGGGGTAGATGTCAAAAATATGTTTAAATATGCCCCCCTAACAAAATATGCCCCCCTACCAAAATTTCACAAATAAACGTTTCGAAATAACCCCTTGTAACTTTTTAAAAAACTCACCCTGTAGAATGATTATAATTTTATTATGTTAAAAGAATATGAAGTGATGGACAATTTTGTTATGTAGTTTATGCAACTAAATTAAATTCAAAACCTTGTTGAGCATTGTATTTATTATATTATTTATTGTTATTGTTTATAACAATCATTCATTAGATATTCAAGGAACCATATATAAATATACGTGTTTATTATAAACAGTTTATATTTTCCATTCAAATCTTCAAGTACAAATTAAAAAAAAAACTTTACAAAAATGTGCAATACAAACGTAAACATCATTTAATCCAATTTTTAAGATTCCTCAATAATTTACGGATTTCCAACAAAAAATATCAATTTATAAGTAAATTTCAAAACGTCACAAGTAATTTCATTTTAACCACTCGACATCTTTATGTTTCCTTTCAAAGTTCTCAGAATAGAAAGCACTACTTATGACAACATCCATTATCACAAAAACAAATCACAGAGACACAAACACACCCAAAAAACTTTTGTTATGTTCCTATTGAATTTCGTATACCAATGCACGTGTGCGGGGGATTTAATTAGCAAAACGTGATGTCATGCGATTGTTTCACCGAGTATAGTCGAGTAAATAAATAAGCGAATGTCTGAGCCACCGACGATTGGTAAATAAATTAACATATACATAACCTGTTTTATTGAAAAAAATAGGAATCATTAGGTCACGAGGCCCGTCATTTAAAATGCATAGACAAGGTCCCAGAGTGTCCCAAAAATAACTTTTAAATTTAAAAAACAGGCTTTTTGTGGTGTTATCATTATAAATTTTTTATTATTTAAGTAAAATAATCACAATAAATAACAAAAATTTTAGATTTTTATGTATTTGTAATTATTATTGTTTCTTTTTGACATTAGGTTTTAGTCCCTGTAATAAAGGCAGCCTAAATTAAAAGCTCATTCACATCCACTTAATACGCGTAACTTAACTTAACGTACGAGAGAGACGTAAGTTAAAATACATTGAAACCAATGCAGCTGTTTACATTCGTAGAAAACTTATCACACGTAACTTAACGTATCCAAAAGTTGGGGCCGGCTCAATACGTTTCTTACGTGAGCCAATCACATGCCCAGTAAAACGATATAGCGCTATCTTGTTGTTTCACTTTTATAGATAGAGCCAATCACATGCCCAGTAAAACGATATAGCGCTATCTTGTTGTTTCACTTTTATAGATAGATAGGCAACCCAGTCTACATCGATGTCTACATTGCACGTGCTTGTATATTACGTTTTTTGCGTGTATTAAGTTAATGTAAACAGACAACTTAAGAGACGTAGGTTTCTTAAGTTAAGTTAAGTTAAGTTACGCCTATTAAGTGGATGTGAATGAGCTTTAATACATATTTAAAAACAAGTATGTAAAGGAAAGTAAAAATATAATATATTATACTAATATTTACAAAGGAAACTGTTTCTGGAAAAGATTTTTTTATTTTGTCTTTGGAATTTTTTTTCAGATTTTTATGTTTTTGTCAGGTTTAATAGGATTATAAAATTAATTGTTGTAATTTCTGCTTTTCTACCATTATGATATAAATCGTTGATTTTTAATTAAAAAAAAATATGTTAACTAGATTGACATTAAGTTAATGTCATTAACCACAATAAAATATTACAATATTTTACAATTAAAATAATAAATTAATTTAAAACAGCATTTTTGAATAGTAAAATATAACTTACCAACATAAGTTCTGTTTGATTTAAATATCCATCCTTCCCAACACCCAAATTCTTCCAAACCTCCCTCAACATGTCCTCAGTACAAATTTGATCAGGTTCGCTACTAAGATCACTCATGTGAAAGTTATTTTCAATTTTTGAACTATTCAGGTCAGTGTGTCCAGGCAAAGATGTGCACCTTTTCAACTTTGAATTGGTCTTCCTTTTTTTGGAATTCGAGACTTCTGACTGAGAATTTGATCTTTGCACAGCAGATTTATTTATGGTAATATCATTTTCTTCATTAAAAATTTGAGTTACTTCATCAATTCTTGGTCGTGATCTCCTGCCATATTTCTTAGACCCAAAAACCAACTTGGGTGACACTTCTCGATCTGGACTTTTTTCTGGATTAGTGTTCTCATCGGTAATAACATTTTTGTTGTTTTGCATGTTACCCAGGAGTGCCAGCAATGCATCTTTAAATTCCACAAATGTAGCACGCTTATATTTAGAATCTGCTAACAAACACTTTATTAGATCCGAACTGTGCTCTTCTAGTTGCAACGTCTGGCATAGTTGCATTAAACCCTCTTTGTCTAGGCTGCCAGAGTTATTTCTGTCATGGCTGTTAAAAACTTTCAGTAGCTGTTCTTCATAAGGATCCATAACTTGTGTTTTAATAGGATTCCTGCAAAGGAATTGCTATTTTTAGGTTCCACTCAATTAGTCTTTAGTTAATGTCAAGGTTGAAATAAATCTAATAGGCTTAAAATATTAAAGAATACATGAACTCCTATTTGTTTATTGTATTAATTTTATAGGGTGAGTCTAAATGTGCTAATATAAAAGTTGTCTCATTTAGTTACACCCTGTATAAGCAAGCAATAGTTAGCAATTGTTATTTAGGACATTTGATAAATTATTTAAAGTTAATCAATAACTCTCTAAACATTCTTTGTTTAAATTTATTGTTTTCGTTTTAAATTTAACTGAATTAGCGTGAATGATTCGCCAGGAATATTTAGAATTATGAAATACTTTACTACTTTCAAAACTATGCCAATTATTTAGACCAAAACTATTTCTATAACATGTTTTCGCAAAATGTTTATTTGTAGTGCCTTAGATAACATATTAGCCCTATCTATTTCTTTATTGTTGTTAACATTAATGACTTTTACCGATTATTTTTTCTTTTCCTTTTTAACCGCGCCTTTCTATTACCTTTTTAGATAGAAAATGTAAATAATAATAGACTTACCAGGGTTAAAAGTTTTCGTAATTACAACATGATTTGAATTAGTATAAGGAAAATGCAAAATTTGCAATAATTTATTTAGATTATAAACATAACGGGACTATTTATTTAATAATCACACAGAACGTCACAAATACTGCACAATCACAACAATCATAAATGACAATTATTGGACAGAAATCTGTATGAAACACAAATCAACATTCATAGATGTCGCTGTTTAAAAGTGTTTTTTAATTTTCCTTTAATTTTAAATTGTACTTTAAATACCAACTGAAATTTTTTATTAAATTAATACAATATCGTTTAAATAAAATATATACATTGTATATTATAAACTGTATATTAAAATTTATAAATGAAAGTATCCACATGAGAATATAGGTACCTATGTCCTTTTTCTATGCTATATACTTTGCCTATATATCTATAGAGACCTCTCGTAATGACGTTTAAAAGCTTAGTAACATAACCTAAATCTTATATACCGTCAAAACAAAAAAATTCATAGCTTCGTTAATTTGAAAAAAAATTAAAATGGAGGGCAACGATCCCTCAAGAATTGAAATGAAGGAAGATAAGGTAATAAATTCATAATTTCTTTGCATAAATTTGATAAAAACGGATAAAAATAACACAGTGACTAGAGGCACGCTAACGTACCGCGATTGGAAATATTAAAGGCACGTTAGTTACGTCATAATTATAATCCGTTTTTGTTCCCTGTCCATTTAATATTTGACATCAAGCTAAATAGCTTATATGGTAGGGCGTTCGCTTGGCATGCGAGAGGTCCGGGGTTCGAAACCAAGTAGCTGTCGAATTTTTTTTATTTTTTTATTTCATAAATTTGTTGTTTCTTTGTTAAACAGTGTTCGGTTGGGTTGGGTTGGTTGGTTTGTTTTAGTTTTATCGTAACATAAAATCTACTAGAAGTTGTCGAACTTTTCTTATTTCATAAATATGTTGTTCCTTTGTTAAAAAGTGTTTTATTTTTATCGTAACATAAATTTGCCCATTTTAGTTGGGTTTTTTGTTCAATGGGGCGGGGGGGGGGGCCAATGGGGCGGGGTCGGTTGGGTTGTGTTGTTGAGTTTGGGATGGTTTGAGTTTATGACGTAACTAACGTGCCTTTAACATTTCAAATCGCGGCACGTTAACGTGCCTGTAGTCACAGCGTAAAAATAAACTTTCAGTAATACGATACCAGCGACATCTGTTGTGTTTTAGGGGTTCATATTGTTCGGGAGGGATATTTCAAAAATCCCCTGCTTCAGAAACAGTCTTTTGTATGGTATGGGTGGAGGAATATCCTTAGGACTTGGACATTTTATGTTTAATAGCAGACCCCTGAAAGCGTGTAATTTTGCGGTTTATTCATTTTCTTTAATAACGCTGGCCTATTGGATACAATGCAGATATAATTACTCAGTACAGAAATTTGAAATGTTGAAAGTTCAGGAGCTTTTAAGACAGAATGCTTTATACGAGGGTACGCCAAAAGACAAACCTGTTCCAGAAGTTATGGATGTTTAGATTAAATTAGATTGTTTATAATATACATATATAAATAACATATATTATATAGTTTTTAAATAAAAATAAAATAGGTTTTTAAATAAAAATGAAATGTTTTTTATTAATTGAGTAAGAATTATAGGTACAATGTTTTTTTTTAAATTGGGTTGTAAGAAAATATAGGAGGCATTTATTAATCATTTCCATTAATTATACTAGAGTGCAGTCTGCGCATTTGCTAGAGAATTTGAAACGTCGTAGGTAAATAAGTACGATCGACGCACATTGTTTATACTTTTTATTTTAACAATAACTCGCGCCATGTTTCATAAAACGATCCACGTATGAACTTTTATCAGGTGTTATCGGATTCTAGCCATAGATATCCGCCGTCCGTCGTCAAGAAAACAGAAACACTTTCATTTAATTATTAACTGACCGCGTGCTAAGAATTCAGTTCAGTTGAAAGTGAAATTTTTTGACGAACATAAGTTTACATAACCAAAAAATTAGGATGAATCTCAACTGTAGTGCCAAAATGGTTAAATACCTCATGATTAGTTTTAATTTATTTTTTGTGGTGAGTATACCTTCTTTATCTCTGGTTATAACCTATAGGTATTATAATGTTATGTTGTGCAATTAAGTAGACCTTGTGTAAGCATTAGAACTTTTTAGATGTGACGTGTTTTATTTTAATTTTATAGTTTGTTTGAAATGATGAATATGTTTTAAATATATGCCTTGTTGTTAATCTAAAAAATGTACAGGCAGTATTAAACTGGATGTTTTAAATTTAAAGAATAAATTATTCTTTAGTGTAACAATTAACTACATATGGAAAATACCGGGAAACACGTTTAGCGCGCATTCGCCATTATTTAATAATCTACCTAACTACCTACATAAAATAAAATAAATATTTGGTTTTCAAATAACGCATATATGCATATACCTATAGGTATTAATGTTGCCTTTGTTAAAATAAACAAAATTATCTTTTTATCTTATTTTATATTAATCATACATATGTAATTGTGTATACACAATTACCTATAGGTATGGCTTGATCTGTACAATCAAAGATGCTTAAGCATAAGTAGTAATAATTATTACAACACTTAAGTAATAACAGGATAATTACAGGGTGTCCCGAAAATAGTGTGCAATCCGGATTGCACACTATTTTCGGGACACCCTGTAATTATGGCCACTACAAGCAGTCAAAAATAGGAAGAGAAAATCTATGTATTTTTTAAAATATACTTTCTGTTAAATATTGAAAAAAGATGATTTTTATTTTAAAATTTGTTATTTTATCTTTATTTAAAAATGGTGCATTTTATTTATGTTTAACAACAGTACTACCTTTTTTACATAGAAAACTTTTATAATCTGCAGCAAACTTGCAAAAAAAATTACACACAAAAAATTTGGCCATTCTTAAATATTTTTTAAATTTTGTTATTTTTTAAAATTCGGCATAAAAAGTGGGTAAACATACAAAATTTCAATATTTTATCTCAAACCGTTTCGGAAATAATAGTAAAAAACCATCTTCAGGGGCCATTTCAATAATCTTACAAAAATAGGTCGCCGACCTATTTTTGTAAGATTTAGTTTTATTTTTTTTTAGAAGCCGTAAGTCAATTCACGTACGGTAGCCCATGGGCTACCCTGCAAACTGATTTAGGTTTTTTTATTGGCTTGAGCTAGTTGGCACTAGGGTTTTAAAATTTCCGGAAAAATTGAGCCGGCGGAAAAAAAACCGTTTTATTCCGGAATAATTGGGAAAATTTCAGAAAAATTGACTTTTACATTTTTATTCAAAGGGTAAAACGAAAAAATGCAAGTCAATTTTTGTAAAAATTTCCAAATTTTTAAGGATAATATCATGATATCAAGAAAAAAAATTAATTTCCGACGCTGATTAATCAATAATCGATTATATATATTATAATCATAATACATAATATGTAATTATTTATTAATAATATAATAAAGGGTGGGCCATTTATTGGTTTGTTTTTAAATCATTGCCCATGGCAACACTCGATGCACCGATCTGTTTCAAATTTTGACAGCTTGTCAGTCTGATATTCCGAGGCACGAAACAATCATGTTTTCGCTAGAGGAGCGTTTCGAAATATTGAAAATTTATTTTCAAAGTCAGTGTTGTGTAGCCGAAACCGTGCGAATTTTGAAAAGAATTATGGGTCGTGAAAGAGAACCAAGCGGAACTGCTGTAGTGAAATTGGTGAAGAAAGTTCTTGAGACAGAAAAGGTCCCCGAGCTCGGACAGTGCGTACGCCTGAAAATATTGAGGCTGTGTCCCGTAGTGTGGTACAAAAACCATCGACCTCAACTCGACGCCGATCGCAGCAACTGGCCGTTAGTCGCACCAGCCTGAGGAGAATACTGCACAAAGACCTCGGATTATTCGCCTACAAGGTCCAGATAACTCAGGAGTTAAAAGCAAATGACTATCCGCTTCGATATCAGTTCGCTGTGTGGTCGAAAAATCATTTTTTCAGACGAAGCTCATTTCCGTCTCGGGGGCTATGTAAACAAGCAGAACTGCCGGATTTGGGGTACGGAACAGCCACACGTAATCGTAGAGAAGCCAATGCATCCACCAAGAGTGACAGTTTGATGTGGATTTTGGAGTGGTGGCATAATTGGCCCGTTTTTCTTCGAAAATGCTGCTGGAAACGCCGTTACCCTAAATGGCGACCGTTACAGAGCCATATTGACCAAGATGGGGCCCCATGCCATACAAACCGACTGACAATCGATCTCTTGCGCACCAAATTTAACAACCGAATAATCAGCCGTTTTGGAGATGTCACGGAGTTTTAGATTTGACGCCATTAGATTTTTTCTGTGGTGTTTCGTTAAGGACCGATGTTATGCGGACAATCCAGAGACAATTCCAGCTTTAAAACATAACATTGAAACGGTTATTGGCGAGATAGGCGGCGAAATCATCGAAAATGTGCTTCAAAATTGGACAGGCAGGATGGCTTACTGTAGGGCCAGCAGAGGAAGTCACATGACCGAAATTGTTTTTTATTCATAAATCGGAGACTCCAATGTTCAAAGTAATAAAAAATTTGTTCTTAAAATATTGATTTAGACTCATTTTATAGCGTTTTTAAAAACAAACCAATAAATGGCCCACCCTTTATAATAATATGTTACATTATGTAGTGGATTTTGGGCACACCCATATCACAGTTATTAGACATGGGACCCACATCAAATTTATATGAGTTTATAATGACATTATATAGACAAGTTCTGCGTAAGCAGAATTTAAATTAAAGTTAGCGAAAAAAAGTTAGTTTTTAAGTGTGCCCCCCCCAGCCTCCTGCCCCCCCCCCAAATTAAGATAATTCAAATTAAAGTGGTATAATATTTAATTCACTAAAATTTATCGACAAATTTCAAATTTTATTACAAAAATTCAAGAATTACAGGTTTTATATTTAATAAAATAATGTGAAGTTGTTAATTGCTACTTTTTTTCAAATGTGTATATTTCCAAAAAAAAAATCAAATTTTCCCAAAAAAGACAATTTTTCCAAGGGCTGGGAAAAAAACAGTTTTTTTCCCAATTTTTCCGGTTTTTTTCCGACACTTTAAAACCCTAGTTTGCACAATGACAATAATTATTATTATTATCTCTTTGTTTTTTTTCAAAAAGTTGGTAATTTTAAAACTTGATGACAGTCATAAAAAAGTGTCAAAATATTTTTCGAGTGCGTTTCCGAAAATGGAACTTAAATTTTAAAAGTGTTCTAAAAATTGCTCACTAACAGGCGAAAAAACGAGATAATTAATAAAAATTAAATAAAATTGTATAAGTTTTACAAACCAATATAGGTATATTTTTTACTCTGCCATCTTTTACCTAAATTTTAAAATGTATAGGGTGCGCCAAAATATACCCTGCGAAGTTATTTTTATGAAAATAATCTGCACGCATAAAAATAGTTAACTATTAATAATTATTAATTATTTGTTTTACAAGTGTTGAAAAGCGACTTTTTCATGCGAGTGTTTAAATTGCTCACGAGGCCGTCAGGCCGAGTGTGCATTAACACGAGCTTGAAGAAAGCTTTTCTTACAAGTGAAACACAATGTTTTTTCTACGACCCTTTTATTTTTTATTACATTCCGATACAAAACAAAATAAAGGCACTAAAATTAGAATTTATTATACAAACACAATTAATTGTGTTCTAAATGATATTTAAACATACATACATATAAAATACGATACAAATTTTGAAACGAATGTCAACGATGCTGTCAATTTCTTTTCATACAGACCTGTCACTTTTCACTCAGAAATGTCACTTTACATTCGTGTTTGAAAAGATTCATTTTCTAAGCATCGATGCCAATACGAAATGTCACTTTTATATAGTGCACAGAGAGGTATTTGGACCGAAAACATGGCCAAAAATATTTGAGCACTTTTTCTGCCTAAAAAGGGTAGCAAATGACTAAAAAACATATTTCCAAAGGTATACAAGTGATAGTAGGTATTTTTTTATTAAAAATAAAAATATGTGTGTTCAAAAATGTATTAAAAAATTACACAATAGCTACTTTACTTATGTGCAATTAACACAATAAAAATATTCAATTAAACATATATTAACTAACTATAATTAACTAGAAACTATCAATAAATGCATTTATTATTTTATTTTTCATTATTCATCATCACTATCATCGTTTTTGATTATGAAAAATTGAAGAGCTTCCTTTGAAAAATCCTTCCTATCTTTTTTATTTTTCGGCCTTAAACTGCTCAAATAAGGATCGGAAGTTAAAAGAAGTCGGTTTAGCACATCCTCATTGCATTCTGCCCTAGAGAACTTCCGAGAAAAACTCTTCCTATATTCGCGGAAGTGCTTGTTCCTAGCTTCCGCTGCTTCTTCGGACAATTGGCCGATTGGCAGTAATGCATGGTAAAAAAAATCATTATTCTTTATTTTATACCTATTTAACACTCTAGTTAAGCCCTAATTAGGTATAGTATTTTTAATTGTTTTAAATTGTACTTACCATTAACCATGGTTTTTTTACCTAATGACATACATTATTTACATTGTTAATTCATTTGAAAATCTATATAGGTACATTAATTCTTGCTTTTTAAATAAAAATCTTAATATTAAACTTGAAAAAAGTTGACGAAAACCAAGCCAAATATTCCTCTAATAGGTATATCCACCTACCTAAAAATTTTATAAGGCCGCACTAAAATGTCTGTTTTCAAAGGTAAATTTTTAGCGGATGTGGAAACATGTGGATGACTTTGATGGCTGAAATTATTCTAGATATCCTAAAGTTTAATAAAATGTGTTGCAGATGCCGTTGCGAGGTGTTGCCGATATTTAAAAACACCATTGTTTGTTTAAGAAAACGAGAAAAATTAAGCATTTCTAGGTAGTTAATTATAGTACGCGATATAAATAAATAAAGTTTATAACACCAATGAAATATTGCCTAAAATATTGTACATACGACATCCATATTAATTTCTTTTACCAAAATGTCTTTTAACATAAGAAACAACACGGCAAAAATTTGTTTTCTTGTGGAGTGTCGCGAACGAAGACCTACGATGTAAAAGAGCGCTAGGTTCTAGCTGCTGGTACATCGGACTGGGATGGCCAATTCAAGTTTCAACTACACCAAAAGATAGCTTTAAGATAGCTTTAAAACAAAATCTTAGATCTGGCAATAAAAATTAACAAAATTGATTTTTGGCCACGTTTTAGGTCCAAATAGCACAGTGTGTAGTGGTCGTAGAAAAAATATATTTTCGTATGAAAACTATTTAATTAATGTAAAATTATGTAAGAAAAATAACACATCGAATAAATGACCGCCTCGGAAAGTCGGACAATGACTCTTTTTTAGCGTATTTGCTTTAGCATTGAATTCCGCAATTTTTTATCTGGGATTTGGCAATTTCTTCATTAATATTAAGTCTGTGAGCGATTATGTAATATAGACTTTACTTTCAAGTAACCCCACAAAAAAAATTGCAAACTTATCCTCGTAAATACTCGTAAATAATAGCCTCCCTTGCGGCATTGAGTTTACGGTGAATTCACCGTTTGCGTGAATTCACACATTTGTAGACGGTAATTAAACGGTGAACTCACGCTGTTTTTGCGATAAATTCACGGTGATTTCACGGTAAATTCACGGTGAACTCAAGTTTGCAAAATCACCGCAAATTCACTGTGAAAGTACCGTAAATTTAGGATCATTTTAAAAAATTAAAAATATTTGATTTTCACGTATACCTAAATCAAATATTTTTTGATATTAAATTCACAATTAAAATACTGTGAAAAGTGCGTGAATTCACCGTCTAACTACCGTTTACAAATGTCACAAACAGACGGTTTATTCACGGTGAATAAACCGTGAACTCAAGGCCGCAAGGGCTGCATTATCTCTCGTATAATAATATACTATTATATTTAAAAATATACAAACCTCCCTAATAATTTTTTAAAATTAATAATATTATTTTAGATAACTGGTATAATCTTACTAGGCATTGGAGTTACTGTGAAAACAGCATACAGCCAGTACCATACATTTTTGGACGACAAGTATTTTTCCCTTCCTAACATGCTAATAGCCACAGGCGCAATCATATTTTTTGTTTCATTCTGCGGATGCTGTGGCGCATTAAAGGAAAGCTGGCTTCTTACCGGAATCGTAAGAAAATATAAAAATATAAAATCCACGATAAACTACATTTTTTATTTTTAGTTTGCCATACTTCTGATAGTCATATTTATTTTTGAACTTTCAATTGGTATCGCTGGATTCGCATTGAAAAATAGAACTTACGATTATTTGGAAAAGGAATTAATGTCAAACATGAATTATTACAACCAAAGTGAAAAATTTGTAAAGAAAATGTGGGACACTGTACAAGATGACGTAAGTATAGGTATATAGCCCACCGTTGTTCGTCGTATGCCAACATCAGCCCGCCGCTGGCATAAAACGTCGCGACGCGTCGCACTATGGAAAATCGGAATGTGTCTTGTATCAAAAATAAGTACATAACATTTTTATTTTTAAAGATAGACTTTTAAAATTTTGTACATATATAGAGTAGATTGCAAGGCTTTTAATGCATTTTTTTTATTTGGATTTATTTTGATAATTTTGTAATCTTGTAATTTTTAAACCTTATTTTTATTCAAAAAAATAATAATATTATAAATTTGAGTTAATGCCGTGAAAGAGCATTAAATATGCTACAAAAAACATTTTAAATTTTATTTTTTTTATATATACCGGGTAGCTATATTTATATATTTAACATACCTTATGCGCGCTCATTAACTAAAGCTCATAGCGGGGCACTTGGACTTCTAAATCAAAAAAAAAGTTGGTGTATGCTTAGACCCTTTACAGTTACAACATATCTAAATTTAAACAAAATTGGACTTTTTTTTGGTGCCCGCTAAAAGTTAACCGGGACTTTTGACGGTTACCGACGTTTACCTATAGGTATAGATGCTTTAAATTTAATGTTGATTTGTTGCTTAGTTATTCATCACAAACATTTATAAAAATTAGCTGCTACTTTTTGCTAATTCCAAAGCTATTTGAAAAAATGTGATAAAATTCAGGACGGAAAACCGATATAATACATATAACCCATATATCTGATTTTTTTAGTTAAAAAAATTGTACGAATATAGAGTAGGCTTCAAATGAATTAAATTTTATTTGGATTTATTTTCATATATTGGGCATATAAAAGAATTAAAAACCTTTTTGCTTTGATATTCCACCGAATTAAAAATTAAAGCCATAAAATCCAAAATTAAGTGACTTACCGTATTTTTTGTTAATTACATGGCTAAAAATGTGCATTTGCGGAAAAACTTTGTAAAAAGCGTTTTTTTTTTAAATTTGCATTTTGCAGTGATTCCTATAGGACAACTTTCAGAAGATGCCCAAGAATCCCCTAATAAGGATTACAAAAATTTCGCCTGCATCATGCCAGAAAATGCTCCCGAATTGCGACAAATAAAGAAGTATTTCATACTCTTCTTTATACTTCAGATTCGTATATAACAAGTATTCGAAAACCGTATAACAAAAATTTGAAGAAATTTGATGAAGATACTCTAGATCTTTTAATAGTTAACGAACCAATTAATGATCTTGTTCAAAAAGCATAATATACATTAATCTGTTAATTTTGTCAGAATAAAATTGTATCACATTTTTTCGCATAGCTTCAGAGTTAGCAAAAGTAGCAGCTAATTTTTATAAATTTTTCTAATGAATACCTAAGCAACAAATCAACATTAAATTTAAAGCATAGGTAAACGTCGGTAACCGTCAAAGGTCCCGGTTAACGTCAAAGTCCAATTTTGTTTAAATTTATATATGTACCTGTAAATTTATATATGTACCTGTAAAGGGCCTAAGCTATGAGCTATGAGCTTTAGTTAATGAGCGCGCATAAGGTATGTTAAATATATAAATATATATATATTTATATATTTAACTTTAATAGCTAGTAGCTATTAGCTACCCGGTATATAAAAAAATAAAAAAATTGAAAATGTTTTTTGTAGAAAATTTATTACTCTTTCACGTCATTTAGTCAAATTTCAAATAATATTATTTTTTGGATTAAAAATTAAAAATTAAAAAAATACAAAATTGATTTTTAATTATTTTTTTAATGTAATGTATCAAAATAAATCCAAATAAAAAACCATGCATTAAAAGCCTTGCAATCTACTCTATATGTTCAAAATTTTAGTGGTTTATTTTTAGAAATAAAAAAGTTATGTATTTTTGATACAAGACACGCCTCGATTTTCCATAGTGCGTCGGCCCGCCGTTAATAGACCAAAAAAACTCACCGACGTTCTGCCAGAACGGTTCTGGATAGGTTCAATCCTGAGGATTTCCTATGAACGTCTCACGGGTTGTTCTTCGCGGTATATGTAGGTCCTGAGAAAATCCTCTAAAGGGCACGATATAATATTAATTATTTTAAATAAAGAATGTACATACATTCTATCAGCTACTGATACATTATGGTAAATATTTAATTGCCATACCTAATAATTATTACATAAACAATATAAAAATAGTGATTTTTCAGAAAACGCATTTTTATGATTTATGCTGGTTTTAAAAAATGCTGCTAAAAATTTTAAACTTCTATTGCATGCATTATATAGGTCATAAGTATTAAAAAAACAAGACAATAATCAATTAATCATTAATCGATTAATCAAATACTCGATTAATGAAATAATCGATTAAATAATAATTGATTAATCAAATAATCGATTACTTAATAAACGACTAGTCAAATATTATTATAGGGCTGGGTTATTATCGATAATCATGATTGCAATTATGAATTTCGATAATCACCCAGCCCTAATTAGTGGCAACCATAATCTATAGATACAGATATTTTAATAATTTAAATTCTTGTGGTCGATATTTTATGCACCCAAATTCCTGGAATACAGGAAATGAATAACAACACTTTTTTTTAGTTTAAATGTTGCGGTGTAAATAATTATTCTGATTGGAAAAATGTTTTTCCGTATGGCGACCTACCCATATCCTGCTGTCCACGTACTTCGGCTGTGGGAGTTTTTTATTGCAACAGTAATCTGCATATGACTACTCTTTCAAGAACTGCAAGACAAGCGCCTCCAGCATTACCTGTTGTCTCTCCACATCCAGAGAGTAAACGAAATGACACATGTGGGGAAAACAAAAATTTTATTTTTTTTTAGTTTCAGAACCTAATCCAACCACAGTACCAATTTTTAAAAAAAACGAGACAACCACTGAATTAGGTGCCACAGGCATACCATTCTTTTCAACCACACATCCCTATAAACAAGGTTGTGCACCAGCATTCAGCTCGTACATAAAAGAGCATGCATCTGACTTGGCTGCTGTTGGAATTGTTTTGGCCCTGATTCAGGTAAATTATAATGGAAAAATGAAAAAAAAACTTACAGGGTGTCCCGGAAATAGTGTGCAATATTCTACACGTGGATTCTAAAGACAAAAATGGGAATTAATATTCTTACAAACATAGATCTGCAAAAGGTCCCCAAGGGAGCTACAGCCTCTTAAAGGGGCGCCCCTGAAGGTTTTTTATTATTTTCAAAACGGTTTGAGATAAAATAATGAAATTTTGTATGATTACCTTAATTTTTATGCTGAATTAAAATCAAAAAACAATGTTTAAACATTTTGTAGTGTATTATGAACAGGGGCGGCCTAGGGTATTTTTAGCGCCAAATTTTTTGTGTGGATTTTTTTTCGCAATAAGGCTGCAGAATATAAAATATAGAGTTTCCATATAAAAAAGGTACTCCTGTGGAACATCGATATTTTTAAATAAAAATTAAATAACAAATTTGAAAACAAAAATTGTTTTTTTTTCCTTTTTTAATTAACGAGAAAGTTTAATTTAAAATTTTATATATTTCCAAAAATACATTATTTTATTTTAAACCATTTTAGAAATAATAATAAAACATCTTCAGGGGCGCCCCTTTAAGAGCCTGTAGGACCTACAGCGTAGGTCCCTTAGGGGCCATTTGCTGACCTATATTTATAAAAAGTGTTTTTCCTAACCGCGTGTAGAGTATTTCACACTATTTTCGGGATACTCTGTATAATAATATGAGTATTTCATAATATTAACCATTTAAGAGCAAACATATAGGGCCCAAAGGGTAAAGAAAAAATCCTTTTAAAAAGATGAATATTCCTTTACTTTATTTTTTTGAATTCGGGAATTATTTAACTTTTGCGCAGTGTTATTGCTTTGTAATCTTGCCTACATTCGATAAAGCAGAAATACTGCGCTCTCATATTGGCGGCTTTAAAAGTTAAATCAATCCTGTAATTTTGCGAATAAATTGTCTATAGGTACAGGGTGTTTCACATTCGTGGTCCATTAAAAGTTTTTGGGGAACGGAAAAAGATATCGATTGTAAATTTTAAAACCGTTTATAATCCATTTAATCAACTTATATTAAATAGAACACCCCATATATTTTTACATTTTTAAATTCTACATAAAATTCTGAGTAAAATTACTATACCATGTCCTATACCTAACGTGAATAGTTTTCGAGTTATTATTTTTTTCGTTAAAATTTGAGAAATGCGCGTCAATCAAAAATAGCCTATAACTTGTTTGTTATTAGGTTTGCGAATATGGGGTTAATTAGTCAATAAGAGAAGTGTTTAATGTAGAAGTAATAATTAAGAAATGCTTGAATGTAAATGGAGAACATTTTAAACATTTATAGTAATAAATTGGTAATACAAATTGTTTTTTAAAATATTGTTGATTTATTAAATTGTTACAGTTAAGCATTCTTTTTGTTATTAAAATATTTCATAAAATAAATTTTATAGTTTGTCTCCAACGAGTGCTAGTGCTTTATCTATTTGATATAGCTTTGTTGAGTTTTTTTTTCAAAATTAGCAAGTACTGTTTGAATAACTTTTAAATTTTTAAAATGTTTGGGTTGTCAATGTTTTTTATAAGTCACTGACTGCTATTTTTATCAGTAATATTGTTTACAAATGAGTACATTAGATGCAAAACTCGGTTTTTGAAAATTTTTTAAAAATATAAATTTTATCCTATTTATGTACATAACTGCACTGCCAACAGCATACCTAAGTAAACCAGATGCATAAGTTAATATTTGTAGAATAAAATACATTTATAAACTTATCGCAGATGCAAAACTGGGTATTTGTTTCTTCCTGTCGGATGCAAAACTCGGTATTTGCCGTAGACCAATCACGTCGATAGTATACGCATTACGTGACAACATAACAATCAACTGATTAATTGTTAAAACAATCACCTGATTTATTGTTATTTTTTGGTATTTGCACTTTTCACTTGCAAAACTTGGTCTTTGAACGAGGAAGACTATGTTTTTAAATCTTTTGATTACAATTATTTACTAAACTACTTAATTTTAAAGGATTATTTTTGGATAATCATTTTTGCTAAGAGAAAAATTATGTTGAATCGATTCAACATAATTTAACAGTTAACAGTTTTTGCGGTTAAATACATTTAATATTTTCTTGGATTTAACCACAAAAACTGTTGATTCAATATATATATAATGTGGAGCAAAAATAAATATCCAAACACCGGTGGCATAAAAAATCACGACATGATTTTTTATGCTATCGGTGTTTGGGCATAATAAATCACGACATGATTTTTATGCCATCGGTGGGTGCACCGACTTGTTTGGATATTTATTTTTGCGCCACATTCGTACATTGAAAGAAAAAGTATGTTAACAATTAAATTAACAGTTTTTGCGGTTAAATACATTTAATATTTTCTTGGATGTAAATTAACTATTAATTTAAATTTAAAAAAATATTGAATGTATTTAACTACAAAAACTGTTGATTCAATATCCATATATGTAGGTATACTTTTTCTCTCAATGTTCGAATGTGGCGCAAAAATAAATATCCAAACACCGATGGCATAAAAAATCACGACAAGGTTTTTTTATGCCATCGGTGTTTGGTCATAAAAAATCACGACATGATTTTTTATGCCATCGGTGTTTGGATATTCGTTTTTGCGAAACATTTGTACAAGAAAAAGTATGTTAACAATTGAATCAACAGTTTAACATTCAATATTTTCTTGGATTTAAATTAACTATAATATATGTAGTTCATATTATGTAGTTCATTTAAATCCAAGAAAATATTCGCAAATATCACACCGTGAGTTCTATATGATATCACTGTGATGAAGCATGTGTATACACAAATATATACTCAGGATATTACAGCGTGATAAAAAAAATCACGTTGTGATATCATCATGACTTCACCAGGAAATCCCGATTGTTGTCCGGGTGTATACAGCCCTTGCGGCTTTGAGTTCACGGTTTATTCACCGTGAATTCACTGTGAATTCACCGTGAATTCACGGTGAATTCACCGTAAACTCACCGTGAATAAACCGTCTGTTTGTGACATTTGTAAACGGTAGTTAGACGGTGAATTCACGCACTTTTCACAGTATTTTAATTGTGAATCCACCGTATTTTGGCGGTATATTCACGGTGAATTCACAGTGAATTCACGGTGAAAAAACCGTGAACTAAAAGGCCGCAAGGGTAGGTATATCGTATAGGTTTAACACGACTATAGCTAGCCATTATTCGTTACTGAGCAGATGAGGATTAATGTTCAGCTATGCCATTACAGACGCACACTTCCAACTAAATATTGCAACCCAACGCTATTTATAGTTAGCTCGCTTGCGTAAGCAGCCGTGAGATGTATTGAGTTCACCGTGAATTTACCGTGAAATCACCGTGAATTAACCGTGAAATCACCGTGAATTTATCGCAAAAACAGCGTGAGTTCACCATTTAATTACCGTCTACAAATGTCATAAATGGACGGTATATTCACTGCACATAAACGGTGTATTCACGGTGAATTCACGCAAACGGTGAGTTCACCGTAAACTCAAGGCCGCAAGGGAGAGTAGGTGCCTCAATCACAAACATTAAACCGCTTTAACTTTTGAAGTTGAGCTAAACTACTAGTAGTACTAACGACTTTTAAAGACCGAGTCCAAGTAATTTTTGTATGTTATAACATAGATGTTATTGACCTTTTTCATTTGTTAGATCATACATATAAGTTTTTTTAATTACAATTAATCATTTAATTATTCTTTTCTTTTAGATTCTTGGCATTGCTTTTGCATTTTACCTAACAAAGAAACTAAGAAATGGTTACTACAGTGCATAAGTAAACTGTTCCCAAGTGTTAATACTGTAAATAAACGTTTTCTTATACTATTTCCATTAAACCTATCATACCTATAATAGATAACCTATTTATTTAAAATAAGTTGTAATAGAAAATTTGTTTTGACTATCTAAATGTTCTTTCCTAACAATTGAATCGCTTATTTGAAAAACCCCACATGTCCAAAACTCAATATTTTGAGAAAAGCTGAAAAAACTCTTTTATTTAAAAACCTCTTGAACATCTATAAAGACCTTAAAATAAACTAGCGCTAAAAGCATTATATTTAAACAATTGTTGGACATGTAGGATTTCTCTTGAAAAGATGCGTCTTCTGTAATTACAGAACAACATATATATGTTAATCTAAAAACACCAAAATGTAAAATTTATGAACAAGTGGGGTTTCTAACAAAAGCGTTTTAATTATAATCGAATACGAAAATATTTCGTGTAAATTAAAGAATTTATGATAATTTGTTGTATTTTATATTTAAACCAAAATGTATTGTTGTTGTATTGTATTGTTAAACTTATTGTGTCATATATATGATGGTTCTTTAAGTAATATTTGTTACCTACGTATTGTAATTGATTACTTATAAATAAAACTACTTATTTTTTTTTTGTAAAAATGTTTTTGTTTTCCTAAAGCCACACAATAGTCAAATTTATTAATAATCATAATTTTTACTAAACATTTTTATAGAAACACTGGTTGTAGGAAAAAATCCTGTGTGTAATTCGAGCGCAAAGTGACATTGCGCTTCTCGCTCAGAGCGTCAATGTATCACTTTGCGCTCTTAATACATAAATAGCTATTATGTATTATGTATTAAGAGCGCAAAGTGATTCATTGTCGCTTTGAGCGAGAAGTTTGGCTATCTCGCGAGAGCGGCAATGTCACTTTGCGCTCGAATTACACACAGGATTTTTTCTACAACCGGTGTTTCTATAACTTAAAGAGCCGGAGCTTGAGTTAAAAAGGCCCCGGGGCGAAACAAAATTTGGGGCCCCATATCAAAAGCACCTCCCAGACCGCAAAATCACATTCCCTGAACATGTCAGGAATATTCCTGGCATAATCAAATGTCCGCTTTTTCCCTGCTTAAAATACCCCATAGAGACCTATACAAAATAATCTATCGGGCGCTAGCGGATTCAATATGTGCATTTGTCCATGGTTTTTTCCGGATACAGCCCGATAGAAAATGTATAGGAAATTACCTATAGCCTATAGGCTATAGGCACACCATAACTTTTGCATTTTCCCTCTTGAGACCGATAGAAAATAACTAAATGACGGATATATAGGGATATCCCTATAGAGCAACCATAAAACATTTGACAAAATTTTATTAAAACCTATGGGGTCCTATAGGGAAAAAACTAATTTCTACATTTATGTGTATTTTCCCCATTGAAACCGATAGCAAATAAATCAATGGTGGATATCCCTAAAGAACAACCATAAATCTCAACTATGGGTCCTATACAAACCGATACACCCTATAGAAACACCATACATCCCGATACAAATATCTATCAGTTTGAATTCAGGGTCTCTATGGGGTATTTTAAGCAGGGTTGGTTAACCCATGGGTATTTTCTTACAAACGCAAAAAATTACAACAAAAATTTTTAATACTGCACACATCCGGATAACGACGCATTCTGAATTATCAAATTATCACTGAACATATGTTTTTCAAATAGTTTGTTTGGATATTGGCGAAAAATTGTGTGCAACATGTCCAGATAAGGCTAAATAATGTTTCCTTCTTATCCCCAGCTCGGGGGCCCCTTGGCACGGCCCCGATAGCCCCAATGAAGATCCGGCCTTGTCTATGTTTGGTAAAAATTAATAAGGTAAACGTCCCAATTATCGACACCTTAAGAGATTTTTCTAAATCATATCGTTATAAAAATTTGCATATTAAAGTTACACTTTTAACAATTTTACTGTGGATTGTTATAATATTGATTATTGCTTTGCAATGTTTATTTTTTAAATAGCAATGCGTAATTTATATGCAAAAAATAAATTTGTTGAAAAGTACCATTTGACCCAGTTATCGACATGGGAAAATTTGTCTTGAACCAAATATCGACACCCTTGCGTACGTAATATCGACACTCGGAAAAGTAACTTGCAATCGATTTAAATGGTTATAATAAGTAACAAAGAGTTTATCATAAAAGTTTATTTATTATAAAATATAAGCAGTATTGCAAACAAAAATGTTTGACGATAAAGGTATTTTAAACACTGAATCACAAATCTCACGCAGTAAAGTCCGCGTTTTTTTTGTTCCTTAATTTTTTAAGGACCTCTTCTCTATCATACCAAAGAATATTATCCCTTTGTCCCATATCCCATATCCAATTGAGCCCATTTTTCTCCATATGTAAGACTTGGTAATAAAACTCATAATTTTCTTTACAATGATATGTCAATAATTTTACCTGGTAGTGATTGATCGTTATAATTCACTATAGCTATAACATAATCGTTTACAAATAACTTTTCTTAAGTCATGTTTGTAAATGTTTTTTTCCCATTTTTCACTATTTTAAAACATTCTTTCTGAAAAAAAAATAGGTTGAACCAGTTATCGACATTTTTGGTACCAAATATCGACATATAAATTACATCCACTCCACAGACTTTGATCCACTCTAACGATGTTACCAATGGAAAAAATGGGTGTCGATAATTGGTACAGCGGTAGTTTAATATAATTTCCTTTAAACTCTTCAGACAGAGTAAGAATAAGTTTGATATACATTTAAATATTCATAAGAAAAGAGAAAGCTACATAGTACCATTTATCGACACCTATGTCGATAAATCGTACAAAGCCTAAAAATGGATGTACCTTTTATCGACACCACATAATTTTACGTTTATACTGATTCTATGCCAAATTATTGGCAAAAACCATACATTATAGATTCTGTATATAAATATACAACTATCTACATAAAGAAACTTAAATATTTTAAACTAAAATTGCCATAATTAACTTACCTGTTTCTTAACACTTTTCTTAAGGATTTGCACAAGTTCACAGATGACTGCGGAATGGCGGGATTAAAATATTTTTTCAATTAATATTTTCTGCATAACCGACCGAAACTTTTTAGGAAAGGTAGGGAAAACCTACTTGTTTCTTATTTTAATATGACAATAGATGTCCAAAGCATCAAATTCTTATTTTTGAATGTTTAGTGCACAAATGTCGATGATTGGGACAGTGTCGATAATTGGGACGTTTACCTTAATTACTGACAACCTCAAATGCTCGCTCCTCGGAAAAGAGCAACTTCCTTTGGAAATTTGTACTTTTTGCTTGGTTGTATAATAAATTGGCGTAATGTTAGCTACCAAAACCGACCACGCATGCGCATTTGAAATGTCATTTTATTTCAAATTTAATAGGTTAAAATGGGTTATAAAGCAAGTTTAAGCATTGTTTTACATATTTTAAAGAGGAAAAAGCGTCCTAAAGCCGGATTTATAGTTCTAAAAAGTAGGAGTAGCAGTAGCAGTAAGCCAGTGTTGCCAATATAATAATATAAATGCTGCAATGTAAATGACTGGAGTAGCGTTCAGTAGCAACCAAGGTCGTTGGCGTAAGAGATGGGCAAGTTTTAACTTTTTTTGCTGCTACTCCTACTCCAGCCAATCACATTGCAGACATTTATTAAGATATTTTATTATATTATTATATTGGCAACACTGGCTTACTGCTACTGCTACTCCTACTTTTTAGAACTATAAATCCGGCTTAAGTGTAATTTTAATAGTTATAATTTAGGTAATAAACCACAACTAATCCTGAAAAACAGTAACAACAAATGTTTAACCTCCAAAACAGGCCAAGGGATTTTTCTACTTTTACAAGTATAAATAAGTAAGAAAAAAGTGTGATACCCCAAGTAAACGCATTGTCCCAGTAAACATTTGTGATTGCGTATTGAAATCACTCCGAAATCTCGTCGTGACATTGTGATATCACTGGCGCATTCATATGTTTCCACAATACACAATCAATGGTATATCAAGTCGTGACATTCAAGCGCAACACGCACTCAATGGGATATCACTCCGTGACATTGCTAGCGCGCATGCGCGAGCGAAAGTGCAGGGGAATATTGAAAACATGTTGGAGCTGTGATAAACAAAAAAAGCGTCGTCGCTGTCGTTAATTGCGATGCAACGTCTTTTAAAACACGTTGCATCGCTAGTAACAATAGCGACGACCCTCTTATCGTATATCACAGCTTCAACATACTTGCGGCCTTGGGTGAAATAAAATTATGGGCTAAAATATTAACAGTCAACGTTTATTTAAATAAAATAATAATATATAAGACAAGTTTTGCACACTACCTTTATACAGGGTGCATCAAGTATGCTATAAGTATAATACCTACATTTATACAGGGTGTCGCAGATTTTAATTGGGAAAATTTAGTGATCTATAGAAATCGAAAATATCAGAAGAAAAGTATGTATGTTTTTAAGCTTCGTTTTCGAGAGGCAGGGTGGTAAAGTTATTTAAAAAAAATATTTATTTTTTGGGCGAACTTGATAAAACCTTTTAGGTTTTTAGTAGTAGGCAAAGGGCTTAATTTAATGTAAATTAAATTTAGTTAATCCCAAATAGATATTTAAAATAAAATTTGGGTATGATACTGATTTTTTTAAGTTTATTATTATTTATAGATTAAAAATAAAACGGAAACGAATTTAATTTTTTTTTCGCTTGCAAAATCGCAAACACATATAAAGTAAAGTTATATATTTTTGGGGAAATAATTGTTTAAAATCATTAACGTATAACGTGTATTAAAGAACAATAATAACATAATACGTAATTAACGTATTATGAACAAATTAAAGTAATGTCATTTAAATGAAAAGTTTCGTCCCTGCGGGGTCACGTCGTGACATAAAAAGATCACGCGCGTGTCACTGCTTGACATAAAACGAC